ATAATAAAACCCAATCGGAAAGGATGCGTCAGGGAGGCATCAACCCTAAAACTATGTCCTTTCCCGTGTTTAGGGTTGATCCCTCCCAGAAATGCGTCCAGGTCGCTAGGGGTTTTATTGTTTTTCAGCCCTGCCCTAACAAATGCAGGTAGCAATTTATTGGGTGCAATATATTCTTTCAAAATGGACCCCGTGTAGTTTCATTCCAATGGATTTTTCGTAAAATGTATCGTGCGCGTTTAGCGGAAAATAGTAGCCCGGAGGAAAATTTGTTAGGCGCCGAACGGGGCGCGGTAAGAACCACGAAGATACGAAATCGTCAACGCAACCGATATTTTCCTTTATTGTCCTGCGTCTGCTGTTACACAGTGTTTTGAGTGGCGGAACCAGACAAACTTGCGCAGCAGAACTGGGGTATCGACGGTTTTGCATACAATCGAATAGGGTTACCATACTATATTGCATGTCTATGATGTTGGCCCAACCTTCCGTGAAAACACCCCCCCTTGGTCCGAGTCAAGGGGGGTCTTAGCGTGGGGGGCAATCCCGTCCCCCACACTTCCAACAAGAGCGGCGGCGTGGCGATGGAACGGAGCGGCGGATCGGCGGACATCGGAGGAAAGGAGCGGCGGAGCTGCGCTGGAGTTTGACTCCTTCCCCAACCCCCCTCCCCCGTTCCCCCTCCCTTTGTCAGGCATTCGGGTGTTGTCATCTAGGACGATTAGGAGCGTTAGATTAAGGGAGCTAGTGGGTGGGGTGGGTTGCGTTTACCTCCTCCTCCTCTTCCCTCTCCTCAACGGCCGTCTTCACTGCTGCTGCTCAACCTGACAACGGAAGAGAGATCTTCCTGAGGCGTCGCTCTCATCTCAAATTAACCCGAAATTATCGTCTTTTTTCCCGAAATTATCGTCCCTCCCCTCCCACAGGTGCCCCGAACGAATGACCCTCACCTCAACGCGGTGTTCGGGTGTAACGCTAGAGGCGTTTGCCTCTAGCGGCCAAGAAGGGTCAAGGGTAAGTGGAGCTCAAGCGGCGGCGGATCTGCGGAGGAAGTGTTTCAAGACTTGGCGATGTTCAAGCGGCGGCGATTCAACACTTCTGTCAGAGTGCTGGGAGAGCTGAAGTCGCGGTGAACAAGCGAGCTGTGGAATGAAGCGGCGGCGGATCTGCGGGGGAAGAAGTTAAACACATAGCTATTCAATCTGGACTTGTATGAGTTGTATTATATAAGTTCAAATGTTTGTTACCATAAAGTTTTATTAAAGGTTCGGAACCCATTCTAGATACCGTAGTTCAATGAGCACAGGTCAACGCGCGCGGCACAGCAAGCCTAAGCTTCAAAATAGTGGGTTGCTTGGTGCAGTGAGGCGCGACGCGGCGACTATTGTGCTAGAGCGAGGGAAGAAACAAGGTCAGAGGTTGAATGGATGACTGTCGAGTAAAGTCAGACATTGGAAGGGGATTTGCTCAAGGCTGGCAGCTTGTGGTGGCTGAAATGTGTACAGTAAACAATCCCGATCAGTTTCAGACATTTAGGTTTGCATTGTGTTTTCCGAACGAGTCATTTTAAAGCGAGTATCGCTGGTGGTTGGAGTGGACGTTCTAGGAGGTATGTGACGTGGCAGTCCTTCACTTCGTTACGTTTGCGTTGCGTAAGGTGCGGAATGCTAGGAAGTGGTCAACAATATATCTTTATGCTTAGTTGTCAAGATGATGAGTTGCTCTCGCAACCTCTGAACCAGGTTCGGGCAGCTGAAATATCGAGAGGTGGATGAGATAAAAATCACGAAAGCCAATAGGGATTGGGGGTGATTTGGTGCACCGTCGCACAGCCACCAATCTTTACCGACCGGCACCTCACACCTTTCTTTCACTTCCGTGATGCACATTGCATACCTGTCATAGTAGTCATTTCTACCGTTCTAGGTCTTCGATCTCCGTTAGATCTAAGCGCTACGCGCTTTACCGTCGCTTCTTGCTTCTTATCCCGCATGTCTTATCGGAACTAAGTGTAAATATAGTCTTAACACCGTAGTTAGTGAGTGTCGCGGTTACTACCAGTAGATTAATTTTCGCCACTTCACGTAGCTTCTAGCAAGTACAGCCAGCCATAGTACCATTTGCGGACGCAATAATATTATCGATCTGCGAGCACATAGATCGGTATGCACTTACCATGCGGACGCGTTAATAGCTTCTTTCCGTGGGCGCGTGATAACCGTCGGTTGTGCGGCGTATTCCATGACGTTAGTTGATTTAGCACATTGAAGCGGACCGTTACCCCGCAAGACGGTAAAATGAGGGAACACGAGGAAAAGGTGAGCAGTAATCGAGTGTGCGGGGTGGGGGAGGAGGGAGGAGAGGGGGAGAGTCGGGGTATGTTGGGGTGTGGTTGGGTATGGTTGGGTGGGGAGGGCATTTCTATATTTATCCCGCTCTCCCCTCGTTCCCCCGGCTCCGCGCCATCTCTTTCCGCTCTTTCTTTATCTCCTAACCGCTCACTTCTCCGCTCTTTGCTCTATTCGCCCCTCTCTCCCCTCGTTCTCCCCTCCCTTTCGCTAACCGCTGTCATCTCGTCTTCTTATCGTTCATCCGTCATCCCCTTCCCGTTCTTAGCTCAGTTCTCCCCTCTATTTCCTCGTTCCCCCCCCCCCCCCCCCCCCCCCCCCCCCCCCCCCACTCCCTTCCCCGCTTTCATCTCGTCCCCTTACTTCTCACCCCTCATGTCCCCTCTGCTCGTTGCTCAATTCTTCCTGCTCTCCCCGCTTTCCCCCCACTCCTCCCCCATCCTCCCCGCTTTCATCTCGTCTCCTTACCGCTCACCCCGCAGGTCCCCTCTGCTCGTAGGTGATTTCGCCCTGTTCTCCCCTCGTCCGTATCCCTCTGTAAGCCCGTCTTTCCGCCGCTCTCCTCTCATCCTCTCCCCCCCCCCCCCTGTTCACCCCTCATATCCCCAGCGCTTTCCACAAGTCCCCCTGCTCATTCCGTATCTCCCCCTGTTCTTTCCGCATGTCCCCCTGCTCATTCCGCATGTCCCCCCGCTCTTTCCGCATTCCCCCCCCGCTCTTTCCCGCATTCCCCCCCGCTCATTCCGCATCTCCCCCTGCTTTTTCCGCGTCTCCCCCTCCCCCCACCTCACACCCCATCTCCCCCTCCCCCCACCTCTCCCCCCGTCACCCTTTCCAACCATTCAACCGTGATCTCTCCCTCCATCCCCCCCCACCCACCCCCCCCCATTTCCCTCCTCTCTCCCCTCCTCTCCCCTCCTCACCCCTCCTTTCCTTTCAACACTCACCCCTTCTTTTCCCCAACACCCACGCCTTACCCAATTAAATAAACTCCCTCTTTTCCGTTTCCTGCCCTCGTCCCCCCTCCGCTCTCCCCGCATTTCCCCCTTCCGTTCACCACTTATTCCCCCCTGCTTCCCCCCTACTTGTTTTATTCAGGAAATCAACCTTGAATCAAGCACGCGTGGTCGTGCTGCTGTCCCTTCCCAGAGACACCAATGGGGCATCAGATGGCCGGAGGGAGGCGGGAGGCGGTGCATCGGGAGGCGGGGGGCGTGCTTGTGTACACCAGGCGTGCTGCTGACACCTGACGCCTGGGAAACCGTTCTCAAACGAGCTGAACCGCACCGATTCGTGCTCGTGCATACCACGGCCAGGAAGCTTCTTCCTTCAGGCAGCAGCGTCGTCAGGGCGAGCTGGAAACTTCCAGCAGCAAAGTCAGGGCGAGCTGGAAACTTCCAGCAGCTAAGTCAGGGCGAGCTGGAAACTTCCAGCAGCTAAGTCAGGGCAGCGTGTTGCTGGCGGCTGGAAATTGTTTTCATGTTTCTAGCGAGCTGAAGGCACATTGAAGGGGTCCGTTGCCACTCACGGCGGTAAAACAAGCGAAAGGTGAGCAGTAAAGGAGTGTGCGGAGTGGGGGAGACGGTGGTAGAGGGGGCGTGGCGGGGTGTGGTTGGATGTGGTTGGGTGGCAAGGGCATCTCTCATGTTCTCCGGCGCTTACCGTACCTCATTCCCCCTGCTCGCCCTCCATTTCTCTATTTCTTACATTATCTCCTTACCGCTCACCCCTCAGCTCCCCTCTTCTATTCGCTCAATTCTCCCCGCTCTCCCCCCTTTCCCCCTCCTCCCTCCCCGCCTTCATCTCATGTCCTTACGGCCCATCTCTCAGGCATGCAACATAGGGGGGCGCTGCCACCCTGTGTTGTCACCACATGCTCAGCTCAGCAAGTCACTGGCTCATTTCTGTATACGGTAGTTTACTTACAACACAGAACAACCCCAGAAATGATGTGTAGCTTTGTCCCTCCCAAGACAACTGCCACACAGTGTAGCATTACAATAGTACCGTACCATGCCATGCTTGACACAACCAACAGAACTATGTTAAAGCCCGCGTCCCAAATTGCCGAGCGCGCGGGTCAAGTTTTTAAAACTTGACGGCGCTGAGTTTGCAAACTTGAAAAGAAGTGGGCCTGCAATTTGGGACTATCGAGAAGTGACCCCAACCGGCAGGAGGAAACTGGGGGCTGGTTGGGTTGAGCGAAGTAAACGAAAATTTCGAAATTCTGCAACACTCGCCACAACCTGAGATCAAACCAACTCCACACGCCAACTTTTTAAAAGATGAACAATTTGGGCCGCCAGCTTTAACTTGCCAGTGTTTAGGTCTCCTCTGGAGGCCCATGGGTGGGTGGTGGCTGCACGCATCACCATTGGCAATCACCTTCATTTCCTTCATTTGCATCACTACTTAAAGTTACAGTGCTGAATGTAGTTTGATGTTAATCTGTGATGAGATGAGATCCCTGTAGTTACTGTAGCATTGGTGACAGTAACAAGATTCCCAAGTAAACTCCCAATGCGGGGGCATCTGCAACTGGCGTAACAACCCACCATAAGTCGTACCATAACCTAGTACTCATGTTGTGACTCTTGCCTTGCAACCCCAGCCACCTAAACCAGACCTATTTTATCAACCAACCAGCAAGCTCTACATCTTCCCCTTGGCGATCTTCGACCATTCAGTATGGTAGCTTCCACCAACGTCCACACGCTCATAGGTGTGCGCCCCAAAGTAGTCGCGCTGTGCTTGCACCAGGTTGGCAGGCAGCCGGGCACGGCGGTAGCTGTCAAAGTAAGCCAAGCTGTGAGTGGGAGAGGCAGGGAGACAGAGTGCAAGGGGACGAGGGAAGGGGTTAGAGAGAGTTTTGAGGTGCCATAGGAGTAGAAGCGGTGGTTCTGTGCTTGCACCAGGTTGGCAGGCAACCGGGCACAGCGGTAGCTGTCGAAATAGGCCAGGCTGCGAGTGGGGGAAGAGGGGTACGGGGGGCAGGGGGACAGGTGAAGGGATGAGTGAGGGTCTTGAGGTGCCATAGAAGCAGGCGGATCGAAATAGGCCAAGCTGTGAGTGGGGGAGGCAGGGAGACAGAGTGCAAGGGGACAAGTGAAGGAATGAGCGAGGGTTTAAAGGTGCCATAGAATCAGCCTGCACGGGGATAGCTGTCAAAGTAGGCCACGCATGGGGGAGGCAGAGAAACAGAGGGCAAGGGGACAAATGAAGGCATGAGGAGTAGACGCAGCGGGTCCTCCTCGCTGCATTTCTCTCACCCTGACCCTTTTCTGCCCTCACCCAGTCTCTTCCCTCACCTGGCGCTCATGCCCGGAGCGGTAATCCCGCCCTGGATGGCCACTGTGACCACCCTACGCCACGCCTGCTGCCGCTCCACCACCTCCTTGGCAAACTCAGAATCCACCAGCAGATTCGCCAGCGCGGGGTTCCGGTCATATGCCTGCCATTTCTCTCCCTGAACCCATCCCTCAGCTCACCTGGTGCTCATGCCAGGGGCGGTGATTCCTGCCTGGATCGCCAGAGTGACCACCCTACGCCACGCCTGCTGCCGCTCCACCACCTCCTTGGCAAACTCAGAATCCACCAGCGGATTCGCCAGCGCGGGGTTCCGGTCATATGCCTGCCATTTCTCTCCCTGAACCCATCCCTCAGCTCACCTGGTGCTCATGCCCGGGGCAGTGATTCCTGCCTGGATCGCCAGCGTCACCACCCTACGCCACGCCTGCTGCCGCTCCACCACCTCCTTGGCGAACTCAGAATCCACCAGCAGATTCGCCAGATCAGGGTTCCGGTCATACGCCTGCTTAATCCGGTCCAGAAACACCGCCCGGATAATACACCCGCCCTTCCAGATCCTCGCCAGCTCGCCGAGGTTCAACCCCCAGCCCTGCTCCGTGCTCTTCGCGCGGATCAGGTTCATCCCCTGCGCGTAACTGCAGACCTTGGACGCGTATAGAGCCTTCCGAACGTCCTCCACAAGCTGGGCTTTATCCACTCCTGGGACAGCCACTGCCCCGTCCGACAGCCCGGCTGCTGCAAAGACCGCGGAAGCCGCCACGCGCTCGTCTTTCAGGCCGGAGATGTAGCGGGAGTCGAGAGACGCAACGATGGTGGGGGCGGCGATAGAGAGCTCTGCTGCCTGCTGGACCGTCCATTTGCCGGTGCCCTTCATGCCGGTTTTGTCGAGGATCGCGTCGACGAGGAACTTGTTCTCGCCGGGTGCTGCGCGGTCGTCCTTGACTGCGAAGATGTCGGCGGTGATCTCCACCAGGAAGCTCTCCAGCTCGTTCTTGTTCCAGCTCGTGAAGACAGAGTGCAGCTCCTCGTTGGACAGCCCGCCCACATTCTTCAGAATGTCATAGCTGGGATGTGACAAGGAAGGGACAGGGGTTATGCGGGGAGAAGCCAGAGAGGGGGAAGGGGAAGGGCGGAAGCCAGGAAGGGGGAAGGGGAAGGGGGGAAGCCAGGGAGGGGGGAGGGGAAGAGAGGAAGTCAGGAGGGAAGAAGGGGAAGGGGGAAGGATGGAAAATGGGAATAGGAGAGTGACTAGAAGCTTACGAGCTCACTCTTGTTCCAGCTGCATGTCGCCGTATTTAATCCCGCAGTGCACCATTTCACAAAGTTCCCCGCACAAGCAGTCCCCACGAACACCGTCCCATCGTCACCTGCCCATCCCCACCACAACAAACCCCACCCGACCCCAAGCCACCCAGCCATAACACCCCAGCAACTCACGCTTCCGAGATGAGCTGCATGTCGCCGTACTCAATCCCATTGTGCACCATCTTCACGAAGTTCCCCGCGCCACCCTTGCCCACGAACGTCACGCACGGCCCGTCGTCCACCTGAGCCGCCACCTTCTTTAACACGTCCTCCACTATCGCGTACGCCTCCTTGGACCCTCCCGGCATGAGCGACGGGCCGAATCGAGCGCCCTCCTCGCCGCCTGACACGCCCATGCCCAGGTAGAGAAGACCCTTGGCCTTCGCCTCTGCCTCCCGGCGCTCCGTATTCTCGTACCTGAAGTCAAACACAATGGGAACAGGGATAGGCGGGAGGAGGGTAGGGAAGGGAGGGGTAAACGGAAGGGAGGGAGTTTTGAATGCACTCAGACTTAGCCTGAGCTTGGCTTCCGCATCCATGCCCTTTGCGTTCTCGTATCACGCGAAACTGCGAAGGAAAGGGCGAGGGGGTATATGAATGAAATATTTATTTTAAAACGCCAAAAAAGTTTCCAACATCCTCCCGCTGAAAAAAAAAGGTAATTATGAGAGTGAATTGATTCTGACACGCAGCCTCACCATTCGTTCCCGCCGTCGATGATGACGTCACCCGGCTCCAAGTACTCCGAGAGCGCCTTGATCGTGTCATCGACGGGCTTCCCGGCCTTCACCAGAATGATGATCGCTCTGGGCCGTTGGATCGACTGAACGAAGTCCTTCACGTCGTGGAAGCCGCGCAGAGGCAGGTCGCCCTCCGCCTTGGCGCGAGCGACGGTGTCGTCCACCTTGCTGGCCGTGCGGTTGTACACGGAGATGGGGAATCCCTTCTCGGCAATGTTCAGAGCGAGGTTCTGCAGGCAGGGAGGGAAGACGGACGGAATACAATAGATACTGACATCAAGAAGGAACCTGGTCGTTCATCTTGGTTGCTGTGCGGGTTCACACGAAAATGGAGAGAAAAAAAAAAAAAAAAAAAAAAAAACCGTTTCCACAATGATTGGCAGGCTCGGAAAATCTCGAAGGCTATGCGTGAATCTGGCAGCTCTCCTTGGCAGACTAAAATTAAACAAACGTCTTGGGAATATTCAAAACAGGCTCATCATTACAGAAAAAAAGGGAAATGTCATCGAAAATGTCCACTCCCAGCAACCTTACCTGTCCCATCACCGCCAAACCAGCGAGGCCGATCCGTGAAAGACCAGTAGAAGACGCCATTCTGCACGGAATTATGGAAATTGGAGACGGATGGGATTGTCAAGAAGAGACAGCGATACAACAAAGTAGCACCATCATTGCATGAAAAACTGCAACTGCAGGCGAAGTTGCGTATGCCAGTTGTTTGGCGAAAAAACATCGACCATGATGCTACATTTTCCATCAACCATGATATTTCATCTTTCGTTACGCTCTTATAGTGAAGGTTTCCAAAAACAAACATATTGTGCACATTTATTCTTGCGACTTACTTGGAACTCTGAGCTGCGTCTGCGACAGTCGCCCGAACAATGCTGCTAGATCGTTGACGCCTTTCTTGAAAGACTTCTACATCGGAACATTACATGAATGAACAAGACGAAAATGGTGAAAATAACAACAAATCTGCTGTCCGAACCACTGTTGATATTGTAAGACTTGAAATCCGAAACGTAAGCGCTACAAGGTAGAGGGCCAGACAACGAGAAATACGTTGGCGAATGAATGGAGACGAGCGGGAAGCATCACTAACGCACCTTGTTTGTGCGTAGATGACAATGGGAGACCAGACTGCGAGAAGCTTGCAGATAGCTTCTTCCACGCAAGCTTGTTCTGGATGCCTGATTGACTCTTCCGAACCGAGCTAGCTGATCGAGTAAGAGACGCAGCAGCGGTCAACGAACTCGTGGCTGCGAGCTCAGCAGCCATGGAATAAAATTATATGAATGCCTGGAAGAATCTGTAGGCCAAGAATCAGGCAAATTGCCTGGAGAGATGGCAGAGGGGGAACCGGGGAGCTGAGGGTGAGTGAGAATGGAGCCACTGAAAGAACCTTTCAGGAGGTTCTGGAATCCTGGAACGTTGGAAAGTGGGAGGAAAAAATGAGAGCTCAAGGTTGGTTCGTCCGAAATAGCTGTGAGCGATGTAGTCACGTGCGAAATATCCGGGATGGTTGTTGTCAAAACTTTCAAAGGACCTTTCTCTTTAGGTTTTACAGTACCGAATTTGTACCGTAATGAATTTGTAAAAACTAGTCATTCAATCTGATTTCTAGGTTTGATTAGAATTTTCAAAGTTTTGCGCCTGCGTTGCGTCTGAAGAACTGGATGACTTTCCATAACTCAAAGCACTTGAGAAACTGCGGGTAACATAATGCTTCCTATGCAACCAGGGTAGCTGCTGCTTAGAAAACTAGCACCCTAAGCACGGATAAAAGGCCCTGCATCTCCGAAAAGCGGGGATCAGACAGCTTTTTACTGGCCCTTCCACATCAGCCAATGGTTACATATCCACTCGCCTTCGCCCACTGGACCCCGACTACGTGTCAAGTTCCATCAGATTTTTCATTCGCCCAGTCAGAGCTCCCAAGCCACGTCGAAGGTCAGCCCAGCTGGGCTGCTGCGGGGACCACCAGCTGGCTCTTCGCTCGGGTATCCGCGTTTTCTTGCAAAGCCCAAAAATCTGCCCCTTCCAGAGCGGAGAGGCCTCCGATTCACCGCAATCATCAATCTTCGGGAGGCGGAAAAGGCGCTCAGCAAAGGTGTTCGGGAGAGGAGCTAGACGTCCCTTTCTTCCTGCGGCTCTTCGCTCTTTCTCCCAAACCCAATCTGCTAAGGATGCTGCCTCCTTTTTCACATTGCTTCACTGGCTGATGGCTACCGCCGCCATGCCATCGATTTGCGGCTCCCTGCTTGCCTCCCTATTGCGCGCAGTAGCCAGCGTAGACCCATTGCGTTGACGCCAAAACGTGGGCAGGTGATTGACGCGTAAACGAATGATTTTTGTTAGAGAGTGATGCGTGAATACGAAGAATCTGAACTCTAGCGGACTTTTTCATGGCTGGCTAGATTTGGAGTTTTCATGGCTTCGCCCGGCCGTCTCTGGCTTGGCTCCTGGGCTCGCTTCCTATTGGGTCAGCGCCTCGCGCCGTACGTTCCCACACCTCCGCACGTGGTTCGGGAGATGCTTCGGCTGGCTCGTGCCGGACCTGACGACGTGGTTTGCGACCTTGGGTGCGGCGACGGGAGATTGCTGATAGAAGCCGCGCTAAGACATGGTTCTAGAGGGTTCGGCGTGGATTTAAATGCGGAGCTGCTACGGGCAGCTGAAGAAAACATTCGAAGTCACGGATTGGCTGACCGAATTACAGTCTCTTGCCAGGTAGCATTGCGAGAAAGGTGTGAGGGTATTTGAATTGGGATAATGGGGAGTGGACTGGAGGGGAACTTGAAAAGAGAAATGGGGAAGGGGGGAGGAGGAAGGAGGAAGGGGGGAGAGAATGGAGTAATGAGGAGGATATTGTGGAAATGGCAGGTGAATTGTATGTCTGTTAAGGTTGAAGTAGGGTGTTTGAAGTAGCGATTCCGAACTAGGGGTCTCGAAGTATGGGAAGAGCTGTGGTTAATAAGTCAAGCACTGATATGAATATGTCCGTCCTTATCCCTGCAGGATGCACTGAAGGTGGACCTTCACGAAGCAACAGTGGTAACCCTATACCTGAGCGAATTCGGTAACCAGCAGCTGGTGCCTCGACTGCAGTCCCAGCTTCCCCCACACAGCCGCGTCGTCTCTTTCTGCTGGAAGTTTCCAGAGCAGTTTCGGCCAGTGGAGGAGAGGAGAATAGATGGCATTCCGCTTTACTTGTACAAATTTTGCTAACATAGAGGTGGTAGGTTTGGGAGGGAACTATGCGACTGGTAAGGTAATAGGGATGTGGGTGTACAGGTTAGGGGATGGGACGTACTGCAGTAACAGAGAAGGTGCTAGGGAGGAATGTATGTCTGAAATTCGAGGATACCCTGCTAGCAGAAGAGGTACCGTCGCAGGAATGTAGCTGTGCATCAGACTGAGTGCTGCAATGTGGTCTCAAGCGGTGTAAAACAGTGCAAGTGGCTGAGATTGATGTACAAAAGAACTATGCAGGGTAGCTAGGCCAAATACATGCTCCATGGTGGATGGACAAGCCTTTTTGCAAATGCGATGTGGAATGACCAGGCCAAATCAATGCGAATCCTGAGTCACGGCAGCAGTGGGCCCCCATGTGATCACCCCCATTACAAGCACACAGCCTCCGCAGGGGCCTGCTGCTGTGTCATGTAGCGATGGCTTCATCGGGGGTAATGCTAGCAATGGCTTGATGATGGTGGGTAATGCTAAGGGATCCACCCTAAACGAATTGCGGGATGACCAGGCTAAATCTATGCATCCTGAGAGTCAATGCAGTGGGTCCCCATGTGATCACTCCCATTACAAGCACACAGCCACCAGAGGGGCCAGCCGTGTCATGTAGCGGCGTGTTGACCCCACTACCAGGCTTCATGCTTTCCTTGCTTTGCTCTGCCGTTGCTACACCTTCTGAACGTCGAAGCGTGAATTCCACAGTAGCAGATTCTCCTGGTGAGATGACGCCTGAACCGGGTCGCACCTGAAGCCAAATCGGCCAATCACATCTCAACCCTCCCCCCGTTGTAATCACATCTCCATCTGTAGTCACCCCAGTCTCATTCCCAGTGCCGAGTTCGCCCACCCTCTTCTCCCCGTCCTTCCATCCCTCCACCTCCTCCTTCAACCCACCTGCACCCTCGCAAACCACTCTAAACCCCATCACGTGCCCTGCGCTCTTATCGCTCTTATTGCTCACCACGACCGATGCTTTTCCCGTAGTCGGTTCTATTTTCACACAAGAGCTTGATGGAAGGAGAGAGGAGCGCTGGGATGCTGCCATTTGCCGAAGCAGCAAGGAGAGAGGGGGGTATGTGTCTTGTGGCGACTCAAGAGTGGAGGAGAGAGTGGAGGAGAGAGGGGAGGAGAGAGGGGAGGAGAGAGAGGAAGAGAGAGTGGGCGTTTCAGAGGAAGAAGCAGCGGGAGAGAGGTTGCTTCCAGAAGGAAGGTTTGTTTCAGCAGTAAAAGAGAGGAGGTCGGTGGCAGGGGTGGGGGTGGTAGAGCTAGTGGTGCTAGTGGAGGGGAGAGGGGTGGAGAGGAGTGGAGATGTGAGGAGGCGGGCAACCAGGGACCTCTGAGCAGCAGCATCAGGGCAGGCGATGGTGACCTGCATGAGTGAGGTGACTGGCTTGTGATCGCTCTGAAAGGCCGCCATGCACGATGTGTAGCTGGGGGAAGGGGGAGTGGGGAGACAACAAGGGGAAGAGGGTAACAAAGCACCATCGTCAGGGGAAGAGGGCAGCAGCAGCATCAGGGCAGGCGATGGTGACTTGCATGAGCGAGGGGACTAGCTTGTGATCGCTCTGAAAGGCCGCCATGCATGATGTGTAGCTGGGGGAAGGGGGAGTGGGGAGACAACAAGGGGAAGAGGGTAACAAAGCAGCATCGTCAGGGGAAGAGGGCAGCAGCAGCATCAGGGCAGGCGATGGTGACTTGCATGAGCGAGGGGACTAGCTTGTGATCGCTCTGAAAGGCCGCCATGCATGATGTGTAGCTGGGGGGAGGGGGAGTAGTGCGGAATGATAGCAAAGGGAACAGGGGGACAGGAGGGTGTGACTTGTATGAGGGAGGTGACTGGCTTGTGGTTGCTCTGGAAGGCCGCCACGCATGATGCGTAGCTGGGGGTGGTGGGATATGGGAAGGGAAGAGCGGGAGGGGAAAGAGAGAAGAAAACAGCATCAATGCAGGCGTTGGTAACAAGCAAGGCAGTAGCATGGGCATCAGTGCGAGACACATTGAAATGGAGAGAGAGCGAGCGGGAGCAAGAGTGAGGAGAGATAGAACGCACTGCAGAACCTCGACTGAAACAGGGTGGGCGAGAGAGGTTCTCCCCTTGGCCACGTTATTCCTGAGTTGAGTCCACAAAGTCACCTTGAGAGAAAAATTGAGAGAGAACATACCGCAGAACGTCGACTGAAACAGGGTGGGAGAGAGAGGTTCTCCCCTTGGCCACGCCACTGCTGCCACCGCCACTGCTGCCACCGCCACCATCCCTTAGTGGGCCAGACGAATCGATTCTGCTTGTTTCACCACTCTGAGATGCGCTGTTGCTAGTGAAGCTGTCTCTAAAGAGGATGCGGTCGCACCAGGCAGGCACCCGGCGCTTCTCACCAGAATCGTATGCTGGGGGGGTTCGGATGGGAGCAAAGGACGGGTGCAGATGAATGGAGAGGCGAACACAAGTGACTTTTGAGTCGACTCAAAAGTCACCAGGCAGGCACCCGGCGCTTCTCACCAGAATCATATGCTGGGGGGGTTCGGATGGGAGCAAAGGGCGGGTGCAGATGAATGGAGAGGCGAACACAAGTGGGGTGACATGAAAGGTGACCAGGCTGGCAGGCACCCTTTTGGGACTTCAATCCCCTCGGAACCACAACAAACAACTTTTGAGCCGTCTCAAAAGGTGACCAGGCTGGCAGGCACCCAAGCAGGCTGGGACTTCAATCCCCTCGGAACCACAACAAACACTCACCCAGAGGGTTGAAAGTTCCGCGATCAAACTTGTAGGTCGAGGCAAAGTCAACCTTTCCTTCCTGCATGCCAACAAACGCCCTCCCAGCCTTCATCTCCGCTCTCAACAAACAGAAGAGGCACTCACCCAGGGGGTTGAAAGTCCCGCGGTCGAACTTGTAGGTCGGGGCAAAGTCCACCTTTCCCTCCTGCATACCCACAAACGCCCTCCCCGCCTTCATCTCCGCTCTCAGCTGATCACACTCCAGCAGCAGCGGGTACTGCCTCTGCCTCTTTGCCACGGCACTGCATGCTTCTAAGCTACCTATACACCCACTCCCTGCTTTCAGTTCCGCTCTCAGCTGATCACACTCCAGCAGCAGCGGGTACTGCCTCCTGGCAATGGCGCTGCATGCCTCTACGCCGTACCACACACCGACTTGCAACAGCGCTGCACGAATCTACAGGGGGAAACGAAAGTAAACACTCACCCAAGGGGTTGAACGTCCCGCGGTCAAACTTGTAGGTCGGGGCAAAGTCAACCTCCCCCTCCTCCATTCCCACAAACGCCCTCACCGCCTTCATCTCCGCTCTCAGCTGGTCACATTCCAGCAGCAGCGGGTACTGCCTCCTGGCAATGGCGCTGCATGCCTCTACGCCGTACCACACCCAGCCCAGACAGGCTGGGACTTTTTACCAGCTGAGGAAGCCAACCATACACTCACCCAGGGGTTTGAAAGTGCCGCGGTCGAACTTGTAGGTCGGTGCAAAGTCCACTGCTGATTCTTGCATGCCGACAAACGCCCTCCCTGCCTTCATCTCCGCTCTCAGCTGATCACACTCCAGCAGCAGCGGGTACTGCCTCCTTGCAATGGCACTGCATGCTTCTTCATATGACACCCCGTCGAGGCGGTAGTTCAAATCGCCCATCCAAATGAGAAGGTCGCTCTGAGACAGGTCCGGGCGAGGGGAGGTTGGCTGTGGGTATGGGAGCGAAGGAGAGAAAGGAGGAAAGGAGCCGGGCCTTGATCTCTCCTTCAGTATGACACCCCGTCGAGGCGGTAGTTCAAATCGCCCATCCAGATGAGCATATCGCTCTGAGACAGGTCAGGGCGAGGTGAGGTGGGCTGGGGGAAGTGTGGGAGGGAGGGGAGAGGAGAGGAGGGGACGTAAGTAGCTAGTCACATGCCTTCATCTCCCTTTTTAGCTGGTCACAAGGTGGTCAGGGCAGCAGCAGCGGTGCCTGCCTCATGCTTACAGCGCTGCAAACCTGTCATCTACACCATTCTCACTGAAATTGTCTGTAAAAAAATCAAACTTACAGTGGCAGGTGAGACGAGCAGAGCTGCACCAGTCACGGCAGCAACTGCGGAAGCAGCAACAAGGGCTGCTGCAGGCCGGCCAATCGAGAAGGCGCCAAGGAGAAGAAGAGGCAGGCAGATGCACACGCAACAGCAGCACGCAGCAGCAATGACTCCATGAGGGGTTCGCTCTTCCAAGTGGGAGGAGTGAGAAGTTTGAGAAAAACTGTCAGGTATGGTAAGTACTGTGGGCTGGTGGTAACAAGGCAGGTGGGGGATCTGAGCTGATTCGGAAGATGGTAGGGAGGGAACATATATGTCCCCTTTTGAAAACACCTGGTCGTTCCTCGTTTCATTTGGAACATATGAGGCATGAGCCGAATCCAAACGGCCTGAGGAATGGTCAGGTGTTTTCAAAAGGGGAGTGGCTTCGCTGTTGCCTTGCTCCGCTTCGATAGCGTATTCTTGCACCCTGCTTTGCCTTCCAAGCAAGCGGGAAAAAGATGGAGCAGAAGGCCGCACCTCAGCATACGACTCAGTGCTTCCAATGCTCGAAATGCTGTTGTTGCCAGCTGCGGCGTTCGGCCAATCAGAGCCCGACACGTCCGTGCCTTGAGTGCTGGAGATGGGAACAAAGCCTGCCGCCCCTGCCGCCCCCCCCACTCCCCTCCCTGCTGCCTTCACAAACCCCTGTACGGCTGATTGGAAGCCGGCTGAAGAGAGAAAAGAGGGTGGTAAGGGAGAACAAAAAGGGGGAAATTTATGCCGTGGTGAGACACCCCCACGCCCCCCCCTGCTGCCTTCACAAAACCCTGTACGGCTGATTGGAAGCCGGCTGAAGAGAGAAAAGAGGGTGGTAAGGGAGAACAAAAAGGGGGAAATTTATGCCGTGGTGAGACACCCCCACGCCCCCCCCTGCTGCCTTCACAAACCCCTGTACGGCTGATTGGAAGCCGGCTGAAGAGAGAAAAGAGGGTGGTAAGGGAGAACAAAAAGGGGGAAATTTATGCCGTGGTGAGACACCCCCACGCCCCCCCCTGCTGCCGTCACAAACCCCTGCACGGCTGATTGGAAGCCAGCTGAAACGACAAGAGGAGGTGGTGGTAGGGGAGAAGAGAAAGGGCGAAATTCAAGTTGTAGTGAGACACCTGAAGACTGCCCACCCAACCCCACCCACGCCCCTCCCTGCTGCCTTCACAAACCCCTGTACGGCCGATTGAAAGCCGGCTGAAACAACAAGAGGAGGTGATGGTAGGGGAGAAGAAGAGTTGGTGGCGAGAAGAAAGCGTGGGTCGGGGAGATGAAAAAAGGGCAAATAAACGTTTTGGTATCAAACAAGGTGACTTCTGAGTCGACTCACGAGTCAGGAGAAAGCGAGAAGAAGGACGCAGAAGTCACCTCCAGCTGGTGGCAGCTGCTGGCAGCAGTGCCCACAGTCCCCATGGATCGCCCAAACTCCATGCTCGTGTAGATGCCATGCCAGTCCTCCTTGCACCCACCCCAACACACCCACTCCCTCTCTCCTCCTCCCTCCCTTCAGATTCATCTCACATCTCACCTCCAGCGGCCTTGGCTGCATTGCTGGCAGCAGTGCCAACGGTCCCCATGGATCGCCCAAACTCCATGCTCGTGTAGATGCCATGCCAGTCCTCCTTGCACCCACCTAACCATAACCAGTCCCTCCCTCTTCCTCCATGTCCCCAAAACCCCAACCCTACCTCCAGCAGCCTTGGCTGCATTGGTCGCAGCAGTGCCCACAGTCCCCATGGATCGCCCGAATTCCATCGTTGTGTAGATGCGATGCCAGTCCTCGTTGCGCTTAGCTGTCGCATTGTCATGCGCTGCCAGGTGGCAGTTGATGATTGCACAGACGCGACCGCATACTGTCATGCGCACCCCCACCCCTCCCTGGTTGAAAAGTGTACAATAACATGGAATAGTATGGGATAACATGGCATGACATGGAACAATATGGAATAACTAGGGATGAAGTGTGTGCTGTCGTGCGCCGCCAGGTGGCAGTTGATGATTGCACAGACGCGCCCGCATACTGTCATGCGCACCCCCACCCCTCCCTGGTTGAGAAGTGTACAATAACATGGAATAGTATGGGATAACATGGCATGACATGGAACAATATGGAATAACTAGGGATGAAGTGTGTGCTGTCGTGCGCCGCCAGGTGGCAGTTGATGATTGCACAGACGCGCCCGCATACTGTCATGCGCACCCCCACCCCTCCCTGTTCAGAAAGCGTGCATTATGATGGGGTAACAAGGGATAACAAGGGATAAGATGGATAAAATGTGCACTGTCACGCGCGCCAGCTGGCAGTTGATGATTGCACTGACGCGGCCGCATATTGTCATGCGCAAGACGGACGCACAAGCCAGCAGTAGCACAGCAGTAGCACAGCAGTAGCACAGCAGCAGCACAGCAGTAGCACAGCAGTAGCACAGCAGTAGCACAGCAGTAGCCCAGCAGTAGCCCAGCAGTAGCCCAGCAGTAGCCCAGCTGTAGCCCAGCTGTAGCCCAGCTGTAGCCCAGCTGTAGCCCAGCTGTAGCCCAGCTGTAGCCCAGCTGTAGCCCAGCGGTAGCATACCTTCTAAGAAAAGAAATCACACCTCACCTTGTTGCCAAGCGCTCGGCCGAAACCGCACGCCACGGCTCCCGTCTCGACGTCAGATATGTCTGGAAGGAGTGACTCGCGCACCCTGGGAGATAGGGAGTAGTGAAGGACAAGAAGCCACATTGAGCACCTTGTTTGTGAGGGCTCGGCCAAAACTGCACGCCACGGCTCCGGTCTCGACATCAGATATGTCCGGAAGGAGAGACTCACGCACCCTGTTGGAGAAAGAAGGGGGGGAGTGAGAGACAACAAGTCAGACAACAAGTCAGACCCTGTTGGCAAGAGCTTGGCCAAAACCGCATGCCACGGCCCACAAATGCTGCCCATCTTACCACACTGTCAGCAGCATGCCCGCCAGCTGTCGCGACGCGATTCGCACAAACCCATCATCCGCACAGGCAGCAGCAGCAGCAGCAGCAGCAGCAGCAGCAGCAGCAGCAGCAGCAGCAGAGGAGGAAGCGGAAGAGGCAGAGGAGATGGAGGAAGGATCAGAGGAAGCAGTGAGACCAGAACCAACAGCAGAAGCACCAGCAGAACCGCCAGCAGCAGCAGCAGCAGAAGCAGCAGCAGTGGCAACAGCAGCAGCAGAACCAGAGGAACCTGCAGCAGCAAGGGCCTTGCGAATAATTGCACTCCACTCCTGCGCAGCACCGCTCTCCTTCTCCTGCAAACCCATCCCAACTGATTCCTTTGCTGCAGCAAGGGCAATGGCCCTTGCACCCATCTCAACCTCTTGCAACCCCACTGCAACCACATCCGCCCCTCTAGCCACCTCCCCCAACCAAGCCTGCACCGTCTCCCCGTCTGGTTTCTCCTCCCCAACGTTCCATGTTCCAGTTGCCACTTGCAGCTTTTGTCTTTTAGTGAACGCCTGGGACTGGGCAGCGAGGACGGTGTGTAGGGCAGATTCTAGGGGCGGCGAGGGAAGGACGGAGGGCCAGGCTGAAACTTCGCCGTTTTTTGCGACAGATAAGACAAACTGGCCCACCGTTGTGGTGGTACTGTAGCTGCTGCCACTGCTGTCAGCAGCGTCACTGATGTCGCTACTGCAGCTGGTGCTGGTCATGGTAGTGGAGGTAGCAGCTTGAGCAACAAGACCTAGAGTGAAAGGTATCAGCTGGCGGATGGCTGGGAGACCAGAAATTCCCTGGTTACCACTCATTCGCGTAATACTACTGCTCCCCTCACTGCTTTCCCAATTCCTGCTGTCTTTTGGGCATGCAACGCCATCCTGTCCCCCTTCTAAGAGCATTTGCCCCCTACTGCGTTCCTTCTGATCCTGCTCCTGCTGCTGAAACTGCAGTTGTTGCTGTTGCTGCTGCTGCTGTTGCTGCTGCTGCAGCTGCTGCTGCTGCTTGCGACTCAGCCTCTGCACACCAGGCCACCCACCTAATCTCCTCCCATTCCTCGCCCCAAGCACCACTATCCCCCCATCCGTCATCCCCACCCAAAGCCTCAACCCCACAATACAGAGACAACACACCCCTGCCTCCAACCCTACCTCCTGCAGCCTCGCCCCGGACCTGTCGATCCGAACCAGCGCGCCGGACCTGAATCCGAACCAGACCGAACCATCACCCACAGCAGTTGCCGCTTGGAGCTTTCTCAGAGAGCCCCCTGAGACTCTTACTGCTGGGGACGGAGAGGAAAAGGTGGTACTACCACCGCTACTACTCGTATCCAAATCATCAATACCAACACCACTGCCACTTACGTACTCCTCTCCTTTTCCTGCTGCTGCAGCCGCTCTTACAGCATCAGTCACTGCCCCTTTAGCTTTTCCAAGCACTTCCCGGGACTTAGCTAAAAGTTTCCACGCGCCTTCCATACGCCTGTCTCTAGTATTACCCCCACCACCAGCATTATTGCTGAATGCGCTGCTGTTGCTGATGATGCTGACGTCACTGCTGCTAGCTGTTGAGTCGCCGCGGGGAGGAAAGCTCCTGGAAGGTTCTTCTGATGCGCTCGGGTCTGAGAGGGAGGAGAGAGCTCGAATCAGCTCCTTTTTTCTTGCGTCCCTGTCAAGGGGGAAAAAGGGTGTGCAGAGGGATACGACGGGGTGGAGAGGGGGATCAGAGAGATGTTGAGAGATGCAGTGCGGTAAAGGAGGAGAGAGCTCGAAATACCCTCTTTCCTTCTTGCATCCCTTTCGAGGGGGGGATGGGAAGCGGTTTGGGATGTGCAGGGATGGGCAGGGATGGGCAGGGATGGGCAGGGATGGGCAGGGATGGGCAGGGATGGGAAGGGATGCGCAGGGATGCGCAGGGATGTGCAGCAATTGGCATATTTATAGAACGGTGGGATGAAGCTTAAGCAGAGGCAGGCCCGGCAGTCCACACCCAGCCAGTGGGGTTTCCAATCGACAAACAATGAAACCTAATTCGACCCCTCCCCACCCAACCTCACCCCACCCCAACCATGATCCTTATGAGGTTGAAGGCGGCGGGGTGAAGCTCACCAGATGCAAGCAGAGGCAGGCCCAGCAGTCCACACCCAGCCAGTGGCCGCATCAGCCACCATCACTCTCACAGCTCCGCGAGCGGTTGAAACGGCGGGCAGCAGTGCTACTGAACTGACTAACATGTTCCCAGGTATGCCTGACCGACAGTGCCATGGGTGTCAACGGGTGGGATGAAGCTCACCAGATGCATGCTGAGGCAGGCCCGGCAGTCCACACCCAGCCAGTGGCCGCATCAGCCACCATCACTCTCACAGCTCCGCGAGCGGTTGAAACGGCGGGCAGCAGTGCTACTGAACTGACTAACATGTTCCCAGGTATGCCTGACCGACAGTGCCATGGGTGTCAACGGGTGGGATGAAGCTCACCAGATGCATGCTGAGGCAGGCCCGGCAGTCCACACCCAGCCAGTGGCCGCATCAGCCACCATCACCCTCACAGCCCCTCGTGCGGTTGAAACGTTTGGCAGCGGTACAGATGGAATGCTCTCAGGTACAGGTGATAGTGCCCTGGGTGAAGTACCGGTGCTACTGCCAGTACCAGCACCAGCACCAGCACCAACGCCAGCACCAGCACCACCAGTGGCAGCGGCAGCAGCATTGGCAGTCGCAGGGTCATAGCTTGAGCGGTTCTCGTAGCTGGTACTACTCCCACCACCGCCATATCCGCTCGGATTACTGGATTCCACCACTTCGTTCCGAGCCTGCTCACCCGCCGCCGAGCCTGGCGAGGCTCGGTGCTGCCGAAGCTCCACGCAGGCAGGGCTGATGCGGACTGGCAGGGCTGCACCTGCCACGTCAGCGCTCTGCTGCTGCTGCTGCAGATCAGATGCTACTGGCCTGTTTCTTCTCTCCTCCGAACCCTCCTTAGTACCCTCCTCTAGTTGGTGAATGGCTCGGTGAATCTCTGTGGTGAGGGAGAGGCGCGTCCATGCCTTGATGACGCCACGATCACCCGCCGACCACAGCTCGCCTGCCCATGCCATGGGTTTGGGTTGGGTGGGGTTGGGTAGGGTGAATGACCCTCCTCTAGTTGGGAAAGGCGGGTCCATGCCTTGATGACGCCACGATCACCCGCTGACCATAGCTCGCCTGCCCATGCCATGGGGGTGAGTAGGGGAAGAGAGGAGAGTAGCACAAAGCAGGTATCGGCATGTTCTGAAGGTTCTCATTACGATCACCTGCCGACCACAGCTCTCACCTACCAATGCCGAGGTTTCCATTGAAGGGTTGGGAGACGATGGTGAGTGCAATGAGACGGATATAGGCGTGTTCTGAGTGTTCTGGCACGTTTCAGGAGTGCTACTACCTCTTGAATACATAAGCAGCCTAGGAAGGAAATACCCGCCAGTCACAGTGGCTCGTGACCTGTGACTCAGGGGAGAAATTACTATAGCAGTCCTAGTGGCTGCATGGGCCTGCCAGTCCGCCACCAGTGTCACCTGCACTCCAGGATCACGCAACCCGATTCTCAACCCATCCCATGCCAACACCAGCCCTTGTGTTGTCTGGGCATGCTCGCACCATAGGGAGTGACGACCAGAGCAGTCACAGTGGCAGTATGGGCCTGCCAGTCCTTTTTCGACTCAGAAAGCGGTTACGCACAATAGGGAGTGTCGACCGTTACGCACCATAGGGAGTGACGACCAGGGCAGTCACAGTGGCTGTATGTGCCTGCCAGTCCGCCACCAGTGCCACCTGCACTCGAGGATCACGCAACCGGATTCCCACCCCCCTCTCCTTGACCCCCTTCACTCCTCCTGTGCCTTCATCTGTTCCCTTTGTTCCCCTCCCTAATAGCACCCTCCATACTAGCACGCGCCCGTCCTTGTGCCCTGTGAAAACCACACCGAGCCTGTCGTCCGAGGCTATGCTCTTGGCTCGGGCCGCGAGGCCTCGGAACGGTACAAAGACAAACGGAGCAGCGTCGGAACCCAGGCGGGAAGGGGGCTTTAATGATCTCTTCGGCTGTGAATATTCCACATCCTTTGGTGCTACGCCTTCGGAATCTACTGCTCCTGCCACTGCTGTGTCAACCCCTCCGGGAGCTCCTGATTTGTATTCTCCTATTGCTCTTTCTTTGGCAGCTCCTGCTGCTTCCCCTGCTGCGTCAGGGAGCATGGCTTGCCGCATGTCCCATGCCCTCAGGCCGTCATCAGTCACACACACTGCCGCACTCCCCACTGCCACAAGCAGACAACTCTTGCCGCTTGCATCTGGCCCAGTCAGATTCGCTTCAGCTGCTGCTATTGCTGCTGCTTCCGCTGCCGAAGTTGCTGCTGCTGCTTTTGCTGCTTCCGCTGCCGCTGTTGCTGCTGCTGCTGATGGCGATGGCGATGGCAAAGAGGAGGAGGACGAATGCGGTAGTAACGACGATGTGGACGACACGGGTGATAGGTCGGAAGATGCGGAAAGAGACGCAGATACCGATGACGATTGCGGAACAGCTAGAAACGAAGATAAAGGCGGGGAGGAAGACACTAAGGATGAGGATGCGGATTGAGAGGAGGGGTAAGCCAAGGGAGGAGTGGTAAAACCAGAGGTAAATCCGGAGGCAAAACCGGAGGCCCCAGATGAAGACAATGCAGCAGATGGGGAAGCCTTTCTGCTCTCCCTCCCCTTTCCTTCCCCTCCCCGAACCTCCACCCGAGCCTCTCCCCTAGGCTTGGGACACACCACGAGCGGAACCGGCCGGTTCAGGTCAACCGGCATTCGCGTGGGCGCATCAAAGATGGTTCTGGGAAGCTTCCCTGCAGGGCCGTAGTACTCTACAGGGGGGAGGGAGGGGATGTACCCTGACTTGACAGAAGCAGCAGGAGAGGATGATGATGTCAGCACGGGGCTGCTGGTGACGTCATCATCACCAGCCCTGCTGGTATTAGTGTCATTGATTTTGTCTCGTCCTCCTTGTTCGTTTCTTCTTCCCAATTCTCCCTTTGCCTCCCTCTTCTCCCCCCCCTTCTCCTGCCTTTTCCCCTCCTGCTGAGATTCCTGTGCTGGGTTTGGGTCATAAGCAGTCTGGAAGGCGGGAAAGAGAGGCTCCGCAGCAGCAGAAGCAGCAGGAGGAGTAGCGGCAGGTGCAGCAGTACCCGAAGCAGCAGGAGCAGGAGCAGCAGAAGCAGGGACTACAACTGCAGGCAGACCAAGATCCGAAAAGTCCCCAAACGCATCAAAGCCACCAACACCAGCACCACCAGCAGCACCACCAGCACCACCTAGCAGTAGCACCATCAATATCAGCAAAACCAGAATATTCTTTCCTCGAGGCAACAGGGGGGACCGAGAGACTTTCGAGGAAGGTCAAGTCATGAGCCATCTCTGCTGCAGCAGAGGCACCACTCGCTTGGGTTTTGCCAACAGGGCCTGTGCCTGCTGCACCGACAGCATCAGCAGCAGCAGCACCAGCACCAGCACCAGTAGTACACACAGCACCTGCAGCAGCACCACCAGCAGAAGCACCCACCGCACCTGCATTGGCAGCAGTAGCAGGGGAAGAGCTAGTGTGTTGGACCAGAGGGTCTGCTAAAAGGTCCATGAGAGGAGGTGGGGCAGAGTCGGTCCTTGCAGTGTGGAGGAGGGTACTGTTTAAAGATGTATTAAAGGGGTCCTGTGACAATAACGAGGGGTGCTGTGACGGTACCGAGGGCCGCTGTGACGATATCGAGGCCCAGAAGGGGTCTGATGCAAGCTCTGGGTCAGGAGGCAAGCTGGGAGCATCAAAGCTGAATGATGGTGACGAGGTTGCCACAAACGGGGATGAATCGAATCCAAAGATATCGTCCTTCTGTGTCTGGACTTGCTGTTGCGAGTGCTGGCTCTGTTCTGAACGGCTGGTACTGGTGTTGTTTGAAGGATTGCTACTGGTAACCCCAAGAGGAATGTTGTCTAGAAAAGCAAACGGATCTGCAATGGCTCCTGTACTGTCTCTCTTCGTCCCTGCTGCTGCTGCTGCTGCTGCTGTTGCTCCTGTTGAGGCAGAAATTGGAACTTTTGCTGCTGACGTGGAGACTGGAAAACTTGCTGCTGACGTGGCAGGATGCGCTGTTGCAGCTCCTACTGTTCGTCCAGCTACAGATGTTCCCATCGCGCCCCCAACGCCGGACGCCCCCTGAACCGCTTGTAGGAAACCCATGGCTAGCTGTGCCGCTGCCAAAGGATCGATTTGTGACTGTAAGTGGGGCTCTGTTCCACTAGCGAATGTGCCTGTACCGAGTCCGCCAGTTGTGCTGGTAGGTGACAATGCATTAGATCGTTTTCCGTCGGAAAAACTTGTTGAAGTAGGATCGGAAGAACCAAAGGCGTCTGCAGCAGCAAAAGGCGATGTGCTTGTAGCGAAAGTTCCGGTTGTGCTTCTGCTTGCAGCAGGGGCTGTGGATGTGACTGAAGAGGAGGTGGCTGAAGCGGATGAGCTCACTCCAGTCCAAGAATCAAGCCAATCCTCAGGGATTGCCGAGGAACGCGAAGAATCAGCGGTACTGCTACTCATGGTACTTCTCGCATCAGTGACCTTGGTATGAGCGCTGGTGCTGGTGTGTTTCTTAATGGGCACAAGAGTGTCGGGAGGCAATGAGGACGGGTTGACTGGCAATTGCGTGACTGTGGGCTTCTTCCCGCCTCCAGCAACAAACGGCTGAGCGTCTTCGCCGGTGGCGAACGGATTCTCGTCAAAGCCGTCCATTTCTGTAACTCTGAAAGATTATTGGCGTATGGTGGGACTAGGTTGCTCTCGACATTCTGCCGTCCAGGAAGGCCATGCCTGTATTGGCAGAAATCTTCATGGAGGTTGCGTTTTACTGGCTCACTCGTTATAGAACCACACATTAACTGGGCGGAGGATTAGCAAGTGAAACCTCATCATACGAATATATCACTAACTGTACACTGTGGTTGAAAGTATTCAACGAATGAAATGATTCGCCTTGTAGTGGAACACTGACTGATCCATAACATTCATGAAACATTGGGAGTTCCGACGTGGATTTTGTACCACGTGGCTCTGGCTGGTTCGTGGTCGTCATTACCTTTTGCTTCGTTGCGGAACACAATCCCACACCACGGGGATGGGGGTGTTTGCGCGCACCCCTTGCGAGAGGAACTTCTGGCTCTGCTCTGGTCAGAGCACAGACCGCGCCAAGCTTGTGGCTCGCTTCTCTGGCGATTGCGCAACGCGTCCTCCATGGTGGAATGTGCGCACATTACACTGGCGGCGAAACCAAGGGACCCAGCTGCGGGAGCTGTCGCTGCACACGCACTCGACTCTCTACGGAAACTCAATTCCCGTGACCACAAACTCCCAAGGACCTTGATCAAGCTGCTGGACATTAGCCTTTGGAGCAGGTGACATATCGCGGCATCCTTCATTATCGGGAGATTTTCCTCAAGTCGAACATCTCAGCTGTCCCGTTTCCCTGAATTTACAGGATGTCTTCCACCACTGCCGTCTCCCACGTCTCTGCGACCCTCGCCTCGCTGAGACTAGCATCCACAAGCGCACGTGTCCAGTCGTTCAGGCAATCTTCTTTCGGTACGCAGTCTTCCAGCTCCTTGAATTCTCGACTGCTTGCCTCCCTTTAGTGCAGCTCCGCGTGCAGGGAGTTCGGGAAGCTGTTTTGGAAGTGAGATGGTAATGGTCTTAATTATATCACATTGGTTCGCAAGTTTCTATATTTGTTTTTGTCTCCTTTCTTCTCCCCGCATATATGCAGTGCGTTCGGCCGCACTTAAGCAGCGCCTGGGCGCTAGAGTTGCCGCTGGATCGCGAGTCTCGGCGTGGTTCAAATTCGGCAAGAACGGTCTCGATGCGGAGTCGTCGGGTATCTACGGCAGTCAAGGACGGGACGACTTCGACAGAGACGACGTGGAACACGTAAGCGTGCCTTTTGCGGCAATTCTTTTCATAACAAATAAGGTCCTTGATTTGGAAGTGGAATAAAGAAGCCAGCCATCGGTGCTTCCAGGCTAAAAAATGCTGGCGACATGGCAATAAGCCAGAGTGAGAGAAAGCATTCTATGGGAGGATTAGGACCTCTTAAGAGTGGACACGATTAGGGAGGAAATGTATGAGCTAGAATCGTGGGTAAGCGTGGCCATGGACTTCAGGGTGGTAGGGAGTCAGGGGAAAGTGAAAAAAGACGTATTCTTAAACAGACGCTTCAGGTTAGCTGATTGGCGGGACAAATTCACGTCTCATCGTCTCTCAGGCACTGCCAAACTCTTTGCTCCTGTAATCTGATAAATTCTGTCATTCGTTTCCTTGTGCATTTGTGTTTCCATGGCAGTACTACAACTACATGGGTATGCTGGCAGTGGAGGGCACGTATGATAAGATGGAGAAGCTCCTGAACACGGGCATTCACCCTGTGGACCTTCTCCTCATGATGGCCGCTTCTGAGGGTGATAAGCCAAAAATCCAGGAGTTGCTGCGTGCTGGTGCAAACGCCAATGTGAAGGATATGGATGGGAGGACTGCACTCGATAGGGCAGCTGACGATGAGATTAGGCAGCTTATTGCTGATGGTGCCAAGCAAGTAGCATGAAAGTATGCCTTCTGAAATTCTTCACATTCTTCTACACCTGGGAATTAGACAAAATATATAATTTTGTTGTCAATAATACTGGTAAGCCTAGTTAGCTGGCCAACCCAGCACTGAATTGAATCAAACAAGGGTGCGTCAGGGATTTTGTGTGGCCTTGCATGGTTCATATCGGGATCTGTGCGCTACAAGGTAAATCTATACGTGCTTTGGTTTGGTTTAGTTTGCAAACGATGGATAATATATAAGTCAACTAAGGTCAGTCAAAGGGCTTCAGTGTTTCATATTGGAACATGCCATCTCTTTACAAATGCACCCCTGTTTTTAGCGAAGTACTTAGCGCCGAATAACATCAATGCGGTTTCCCTGTCAATTTTATTCTCGCAAAAGTCAACGAAGGACGAAAGTATATCGTCCCGTCTGCGGCGGGGAACGGTTGCCGTCCATTCCGCCTCTGTGTCCACCGAACGGCGGAGATTCTGTTTCAGCAGTCGCACGAATATCCGTGTGGTGCAGATGGGGTTGCTGGTCGTTGGGCTCGTTGAGGGGAGGGCGTGAGGTCCCTTGTTGCCCCCATCGTCCTCATCCTCCACACGTCACATGGCGCGCAGCCCTCACATCACAATCAACATTTCGCCCGCATAGGCGGACAATCTCCCCGAAGCCCCCAGCCCTCGCCCAAATCCCTGCCACTTGATTTGGTTGAGGGGTGTGCGCATTCCGCATTGAGTTCCAGCTGCCGATCTATAGGGCGCCAAGCTTTCGGTGCTTGTCGTAGTCATTTTGCCCCCAAGGTTCCGCAAACCTTGCGCGCCGTGCCCGCACTCCCCTCATCCCTATCAACCCAATCATCCCAACCTGCCAACCTTCACCAGTCCTCCATTTTCAGCCCTATCCGTATTTCTGGAACTCAGCTAGATTGAGCGTGTCTAGCTGGGAGCTGTCTTGTTGTCTGGCTGTGGTCATTGACCTCTAGGTGATTCCCCGCAAGGTGTCAGATTTCTTTCCCTCAAGGTCATTGAAGTAGAGGAACCTTTTTTTGGGGGGCTAGTAAAGCTAGACAAACTGGCGAGCCAAAGCAGTAGCAGTAAGATGGCCACAAAGGTGGAACCCCCGGTGGGGACTTGTCCACCGGGGAAGCACCAGTTTATGCTGTGGCGAACGCTGTTTGAGATAGACGCCAAGTACACTCCGATCAAGCCTATTGGAAAGGGAGCTTACGGCGTCGTGTGCTCAGCGAGAAACGCGGATACAGGGGAGAAAGTGGCCATTAAGAAAATCAGCAATGCATTCGAGAATGCTACTGATGCTCGTCGCACTCTCCGTGAAATTAGGCTCCTTCGGCATCTGTACCATGAGAACATCATCGCAGTGAAGGACATTATGCCTCCTCCGGACAGGTTCACTTTCAATGACGTGTATGTCGTGTATGAGCTCATGGATACAGACCTTCACCAGATCATCCGGTCATCCCAGGCTCTGACAGACGACCACTGCCAATACTTTATCTATCAGGTAATAATTTATTCTTTACCATTTCTTCCAATTCAAGTTCAATGTCGCTGGCTTATCATTCATTTCTTCCATTCTGTCTGCTTTTATGGATATTTTCTTGCAATTTGATGTTCGAACTAAATTACTAGGCGTAACTAACAGCTCCTGTTTTACAACATTTTTATTGCATGTAAAGTTATATATTCTCGACAAAATAAGCATCTATTTTGCAACTCCCGTAACATATTGTTTTGTTTGTCCAGCTTCTCCGTGGACTCAAGTATGTCCATACGGCCAATGTGCTGCATCGAGACCTCAAGCCCAGCAACCTCCTCCTCAATGCCAGTTGCGACCTCAAGATCTGCGATTTTGGTCTCGCTCGCACGGGAAGCGAGAAGGGTTTCATGACGGAGTATGTCGTGACTCGGTGGTACCGTGCTCCTGAGCTGCTGCTTTCCTGCGACGAGTACACCTTCGCCATTGACATGTGGTCCGTTGGCTGCATCTTCGCGGAGCTTCTGGGACGGAAGCCGCTTTTCCCTGGAAAGGATTACATCCATCAGCTGAAGCTGATCATCAACCTGATTGGTTCGCCTGACGAAGACGACCTTCATTTCATTTCCAGCCAAAAAGCTCGCAGCTACATCCGTTCGTTGCCGTACACTCCCAGAGTCTCGCTCTCTCGCCTCTACCCCAGGGCCAACCCTCTGGCCATCAACCTGATTGAGCGGATGCTTGTGTTTGACCCGAACAAGCGTATCACTGTGGAAGAGGCTTTGGAGCATCCGTATCTGTCCATGCTTCATGATCCTGCTGTGGAGCCGTCTGCTCCGGCGCCGTTTGAGTTCGACTTTGAGGATGAGGATCTGAAGGAGGCGGCGTTGCGTGAAAAGGTATGGCAAGAGATGCTGTACTATCATCCAGAGGTGGTCAGCAACAGCTAGATGAAGTCGCGGTACCAGGAATATACACTTGAAGGTAATTTGGCGTATGGTAGCAGAGTGGAAAGGAGAGGGGGAGCAAAAACCGGGATTGGGAAGTTTGGGGGGATGGGGTGTGTCGAAGGGTGAAGGGACTGGAGTGTTTGGGTGGAAAGTCAGTTGCTTGGCTGGCTTAGTGCATTGCTCAATCTGAAGCGCAGGGATGGGGAATATGCTCATGCTTCTGGGAGGCATGGGGTAGGGTTGAGTGGAATGTTTGGTGGTAATGTCGGGATGGATGGGTGATGGAGGAAGTTCGGTAGTCCAAGTCGTGTCCTTTTTGGCTTGGAAAAACTGTGTAGAGATTGGAATTGGGGATGCGAGCCACCTTTTAGCAGCAAGGCATGGACACGGTTCGATTTTGGTCGGAGGGAAGTGCAGGGCTAGGTTGGATCAGGTTGTGTGTCCTGGTTTGTGGAGGTCCTCTTGCATCTTTCCCAATGGCAGTGGCAGTGTTCGTCATCTCCTTTTTTACCACCAGATGATTGTTCCTAGCAACAGGATTAGCATCATGGTTCATTCATGACCATTATTAACTGCCATTTTTTTATCCTTGTCACTACATTAGAATGAAAATGGTATCCGGATCCATTATATTAACAATGGAGATGTAAACAACCTAGGCTGGTAACATGCTTGTGGTGTATGGTATGTGCTATGGATGTGGCCTAATTTCTGTATTGCAATGCACATGTTCCCACAACATGAAGCAATTATGGCTGGAATAGTTCTGCTACACAATTATCCGCGTGTAAGCGTTCCCAACTCTGCTATACTCCTTACAGGCTTTCTCCTCACGTCCTGTCTCCTCGCCCTTGGATGCTTGGCTCTTCATCATTACACCCGTTCCTCCCACTTCTTGAAATCTGGTCGCATGGCAATGTCTGGCAAAAAATCTTCTAGTGATTTTGTCTCGCAAATATACCTCGCGCGGTTCCGCCTTTCTTTTGGCGTCGCTAGTATTTTTAAAATTGCTCACTGACGTTGCGCGTATAGAATCTGGGTGTCACCTTCGATTCCGTGCTTCCATTACGTACCAGCTGAGCCAGAATATTTTTTTTCATTTTGTAAGAGTCTTAACAAATTAGACGTTCTTGTGGATTTCACGTTTCAAGATATTTTTACTTGGTCATGGAGTTTCGTCTGCAGTCAGCGTGAAGTTCCCGAGATCCAGGCTTTGCTTTTTGGTCTTTGAAACCAATTACTCCTATTCTGACTGAACGACAACTTCAGATGGATTAACAGATTCTTGTTTTTGGAAGAGCAACAAGTTTTTTTAGGAGCTGGTTTAAGTGATTGGACTCAAGAACATATTATTTGTCAGCAAGACATTCATTAGCGTGTCCTTCACATCATATGATTGCATTCTAGATTGGAAGCTGAGCGAAGGAGGATGGGTGCTGGCCGGAAGACTACGACGTATCAGTATGACACGGCAAACCAAAGGGGAGGGGGAGGCGGAAGCAGCCATCAGCGCGTTCAGTTCCGCCTGCTGCCGCGGGAGCAGCTGGGGGGTTGCGTGTTCGGATGCACCAAAGAGACTTTCTCGGAATGCGTTACAAAAGAGCTATTTGGTGAGTGTACTTATAGCGAGTATCTAGACGGGAAGCTGAGTGAAGGAAGATGGGTGCTGGCCGAAAGACCACGACGTATCAGTATGACACGGCAAACCAAAGGGAGGGGGAGGCGGAAGCAGCCATCAGCGTGTGCAGTTCCGCCTGTTGCCGCGGGAACAGCTGGGGGGTTGCGTGTTCGGATGCACCAAGGAGACTTTCTCGGAATGTGACACGAAGGAGCTTTTCGGTGAGTGCTCTTTTAGCGAGTATCTAGGCGTTAAACAGTGAATCTCGTATCACTCCTGGCAAGCGTCTCACTCGTATCAACTATTCCTGCCTTCCTCTCTCCCCCCTTCCCCTCACAAGCCTGCCTACAACCACATGAAGTATGATTAGAACATCGCTCCTGGCATGCCACTCATCTTCAACTACTCGTCCCCTTCATCACACCTCATCACATAATCCCTACCTCCCTCCCTTCCTTTCCCCCTCCCAGGCCTGCCCTACAACCACGTGGAGTACGTTCTATACATCAGACCCGGCATGCTTCATTTTCCTGAATTGATTTCTATAGCCTGCATAAACTCTCTTCATTCTTTCTCCCTCTCTCCCCTCGTTGCCTTCCCAGGCCTGCCCTACAACCACATGGAGTACGTGCAGAACATCAAACCTTGCATCTCTTCCACTTGTATTGATTCAAAGAACTTATATAATCACTCTTATTTCTCTCCAAACGTCCCCTTGCCAGGCCTGCCATATAACCACATGGAGTACGTTCAGAACATCAAACCGGGCTTGCCTCTTTTCCTCTTCAACTACTCGGATCGTCGCCTACACGGGATCTTTGAGGCAGTGAGCCACGGGGATTTGGAGATCGACCCTCATGGCTGGACCGGCAAGAATGCCGGCGAGACACGCTTCCCCGCCCAGGTACGCTTCCTGCTCTCTGCTGGCCCCTCTTCTCTGGTGCCTCCCCGAGGGGTCCCCCTCTTTGCCCTGGCGTGCCTCTCCCGGCTTCTCTTCCTCTTCAAATACTCGGATCGCCGCCTGCACGGGGTGTATGAGGCGGTGAGCCATGGAGATTTGGAAAGTTGGAATATACGCGTTTCGCGTTTTGTACGCATGCGTGTATACGCTAGAGTATAATACGCAATACGTCCAGAGAGGATGTTGATATACGCTTGAAATACGGAGGGGCGGGCAGCGTAAAAACTTTTCCGGGCAGGGTAAAGTACCGATTTCTAGCAAGGGGAGGGGGATATGCACCCACACTTATCTCTTCCTGTTTTTTTTTGGAATGGGATTTCTCGCGGATATATGCGGAAGTGCCTGAAATTGAAATGATCGCTATCTTCCTAAAACACCATCGCGGTGGAACTTTCCGCGGACGCAATTCGAACGTACGTGCACTCACTAGAGTGCTTGAGAGGGTAGATATGGCTGCAGCGGATTAAGCTTAGCGCATGTTATTGAAAGCGATGTGTCGTCAACTACGAAAATGGAGACAGCGTAGGTTGCTTCAGGCTCGCCTTGTATTCGTGCGTGCATGCTGTGCGTGGATTTCTTGGTGGGGATGGGTAGGTTGGATCTGAGAGGTATGTTGGGATTCAAAGCGGTTGAAAACTTTTGAACTCCAAATTTGGGAGCCAAAATTGAGTTGGCGATGTTCCTCACAAATTGTTCCGCATCGCAACTCGCAATTCCTATTTTTATGTTTTTTTTTTTTTCGACGGGCTGCCCGCCCGAAATCCGAGCGTATTTCTAGCGTTTTGCGTTTTTACGTATATACGCCAGCGTACAAACGCAATACGCCTTGCCAGCCGAGCGTATATTCCAACTTAGATTTGGACCCTACCCTTCCCCATCTCCTTACCTCCCCCGTCCTCACAGTTAAAGGTTCGTCTGCGCCACAGGTGTTCGCCTCTACTTGAGACCACTTACGGCCCGGCCTTATCAGCCAACTACTATTCCCTCACGCACTTCTTTTTCGAGCTAGACCACCAGCAGACTCGGAATCTTCTCGCTTTCTACTGCAAGCACACCCCTGCCGGTGCTCCCTCCCGCCCTAGTGGTTCTTTTGACTCAGCTACAAAACCCGCCTCACATTCCCCTCTCTCCCTCCTTCTCCCCCTTCCCCCCAGGTGAAGGTGCGTCTGCGTCACAAGTGCTCGCCTCTACCCGAGACCACTTACGGCCCGGCCCATCAGCCAACTACTACTCGCCCACGCACTTCTTGTTGTTCGAACTCGACTGGCAGCAGACCCACCTGCTTCACAATTCAAACTACCTTCCCTCTCTTCCTCCTCCCTCCCCCTCTCCCCCTCCCCCTCTCCTCCCCCTCTCTTTCCCCTTTCCAGGTGAAGGTTCGTCTGCGCCACAAGTGTTCCCCTCTACCAGAGTCCACCTATGGGCTGGCCCTATCAGCCAACTACTACTCCCCCACGCACTTCTTTTTCGAGTTAGACCACCAGCAAACTCAAAAGCTCCTCGCACTCTACTGCAAGCACAACCCTGCCGCTGCTCCCTCATTGTGCCCTAGCGCGTCGTTTGGCTCGGCTCAAAAACCCACTCTCACTCAATCACCTAACGGATTTCCCTCTCATTCCTCTCATCCTCCTCTGAATCCCCTTCCTCCTGCCAAGCCCCTCCCCCTCCCTCGCCCCTCCTCTTCTTCCTCCTCCAATTCCTCCTCCTCTGCCGCTTCTTCCTCCCAACCGCCCTGGGATTCTTCTGCTGCTCCTCCCGCACCTCATTCCGGACCTCATGCCGGGCCTTTTAAGCCATCCGGACCTGGTTACTCGTCTGATTCCGGACCTCCATCCAGGTCTGGATCTTGGAACCGCCCCGAACCTCGACCTGGACCTGGAACCTGGTCTGGTTCCGAGCCTCCTTCCAAGCCTGGACCATCAAACGGCCCAAATTTTCCTGCCGGACCTGGCCCCGGACCTAGCCCCGGACCTGGACACGGCCTGGGCACGGGCCTGGGCCATGGATTGGGCCTAAAGGAGGAGGGAAGGCCCCAGCCCGTGATCCCTGGGTTTCGTCTGTTCCCGGTCCTGCACAGTCAACCCAAGTCAACGCGTCTTCTGTGCCTTGGGTTTCATCTGCTCCCAGCTCCAGTGGGTCAACCAAAGTCAACGCTCCTGCTGTGCCTTGGGTTACATCTGCTCCAGTTACATCTTCTCCTGTCAAAGATTCGCTAGGAAAGGAAGGATTCAAAGGGAAAGGAAAGGCATGCGGTGAAAAGCCCACAGGTAAACCCGATGACCTTATCGTTCCCAAGCCTCGCCCTAGAACAGGCTCGGCACCAGCTTCGGCGGCCATCCGAGCCTGGCTGCAGCCTTCCAGTGGGAGTGGGAGCTCTGGTACGGACAAGGAACCGAAGCTGCCTAGCGTTTCAACCACGTCAGCAACACCAGCAACAGCATCATCATTGGGAGCAGCTGTATCAACAACAGTATCAGCAGCAGTGGCAACAGCATCCCCACCAGCAGCGCCAGCAACATCAGGTGCAAATGATAGTGATGGTGAAAGCAATGGCAGTGGGTATAGTGTTGGTGGCGATACTGGTGGTGATGATAGTAGTGGTGGTGATAGTAACGGTGGTAGTGATGGGGGTAGTGCTGGTGCTGGTAGCAGTGGCGGGGATGGGGGTAAGGGAGCGGCCAGCTCAGCACGTGTTTCTGGGGGGGAAAAGGAGGACCCAGGACCTGTGGCTACAGATGCAGCAGCCAAAATAAAAGGAAAAGCAGTTGTGCAACCTGCAACGGCGATACCACCAACACCCGCAACTGCACCACTCCCATCATCATCACCAGCAGCAGCACCAACAGCAGCAGCAGCAGGCCAAAACGCAGCAGCACCACCAGCAATGGCACCAGCAACAGCAACGACACCAGCACCAGCAGCAGCACCAGCATCGCCAGCCATACCATCAGCAGCAGCGCCAACTGCAGCACCAACAGCAACACCAGCGCCACCAGCAGCACAAGCACCACCAGCATCACCATCCTTACCAGCGGCAACGCCAGAGGCACAGAGCTCTGCAACACCACCACCAATGGCATACTATGCTCTCGCCTATCCCCCCACCCAATACTCTGGTGCCCCCAACAATTTCCCCTACCCGTTTTCCATGCCCATGCCCATGCCCATGCCCATGCACATGCCTATGCCCATGCCTATGAATATGTCCATGCCTATGCCTATGCCCATGGCTGGTGCAGGGGGTGCTGGTTATACTGGTAACTACCCCGCTCCCCCTTCGCAGCAGCAGCAGCAAGAGCAACAGCAGCAGCAGGAATGGTGGGCACAGGCGTCAATGCAAGCACCAATGCAGCCTCGGCTACAGAATCCTTACCACCAACAGGAGCAGTACCAGCAGCAGCAACCGCAGCAGCAGCAGCAGCAGCAGGAGCAAGAGCAGCAGCAGCAGAAGCAGCAACAGCAGCAGGAGCAAGAGCATCAGAAGCAACAACTGGAGCAGCAGGCAGTAGCAGCCGCAGCAGCAGCAGGAGCAGGAGGAGGAGGAGGAGGAGGAGGAAAGCGATGCCAGTGCTATGGCTGGCCTAGCAGCAACAGTGCAGCAGAGCCTTGCAATGGTAACTAGTGCCATGCAGCAGTGGGCTCAGGAGCGCGCACAGCTGCGCGCATCACTGGAGCAGATACAGGCTGAGCTGGTGCAGGTGAAAGCGGCAAGGGAGGAGGATCGGGCAGAGATTGGGAGGTTGAAGGGAGAGGTGGTGAGGCTTCAAGGGGATGGTTCGGCATTGAAGCAGCTTCAGGCAGAGTTTGGTCGGCTGCACGCGAAACAGGTGATTGTATGGGGATGTGGGAAAGGGCTGCAAGGGAGGGGGGTCAGGTGGAGATTGGGAGGTTGCAGGGAGAGGTGGTGAGGCTTCAAGGGGATGGTTTGACATTGAAGCATCTTCAGGCAGAGTTGAATCGGCTGCATGCGAAACAGGTGAGTCAAGGGGGGTTGGGTAGGCTTAGCAGCAACAAAGCCTTGCAATGGTAACCAGTGCCATGCAGCAGTGGGCGCAGGAGCGGGCTCAGCTGCGCGCATCAATGGAGCAGATACAGGCTGAGCTGGTGCAGGTGAAAGCGGCAAGGGAGGAGGATCGGGCGGAGATTGGGAGGTTGCAGGGAGAGGTGGTGAGGCTTCAAGGGGATGGTTTGACATTGAAGCAGCTACAGGCGGAGTTTGCTCGGCTGCAGGCAAAACAGGTGAGTCAGTGGGGGGTTGGGTGATGCCAGTGCTATGGCTGGCCTAGCAGCAAGAGTGCAGCAAAGCCTTGCAATGGTAACCAGTGCCATGCAGCAGTGGGCGCAGGAGCGGGCACAGCTGCACGCATCACTGGAGCAGATACAGGCTGAGCTGGTGCAGGTGAAAGCGGCAAGGGAGGAGGATCGGGCGGAGATTGGGAGGTTGCAGGGAGAGGTGGTGAGGCTGCAAGGGGATGGTTTGACTTTGAAGCATCTTCAGGCAGAGTTTGATCGGCTGCATGCGAAACAGGTGAGTCAAGGGGGGTTGGGTAGGCTTAGCTGCAACAAAGCCTTGCAATGGTAACCAGTGCCATGCAGCAGTGGGCGCAGGAGCGGGCTCAGCTGCGCGCATCACTGGAGCAGATACAGGCTGAGCTGGTGCAGGTGAAAGCGGCACGGGAGGAGGATCGGGCGGAGATTGGGAGGTTGAAGGGAGAGGTGGTGAGGCTGCAAGGGAATGGTTTGACTTTGAAGCATCTTCAGGCAGAGTTTGATCGGCTGCATGCGAAACAGGTGAGTCAAGGGGGGTTGGGTAGGCTTAGCTGCAACAAAGCCTTGCAATGGTAACCAGTGCCATGCAGCAGTGGGCGCAGGAGCGGGCTCAGCTGCGCGCATCACTGGAGCAGATACAGGCTGAGCTGGTGAAGGTGAAAGCGGCACGGGAGGAGGATCGGGCGGAGATTGGGAGGTTGAAGGGAGAGGTGGTGAGGCTGCAAGGGGATGGTTTGACTTTGAAGCATCTTCAGGCAGAGTTTGATCGGCTGCATGCGAAACAGGTGAGTCAAGGGGGGTTGGGTAGGCTTAGCTGCAACAAAGCCTTGCAATGGTAACCAGTGCCATGCAGCAGTGGGCGCAGGAGCGGGCTCAGCTGCGCGCATCACTGGAGCAGATACAGGCTGAGCTGGTGCAGGTGAAAGCGGCACGGGAGGAGGATCGGGCGGAGATTGGGAGGTTGAAGGGAGAGGTGGTGAGGCTGCAAGGGGATGGTTTGACTTTGAAGCATCTTCAGGCAGAGTTTGATCGGCTGCATGCGAAACAGGTGAGTCAAGGGGGGTTGGGTAGGCTTAGCTGCAACAAAGCCTTGCAATGGTAACCAGTGCCATGCAGCAGTGGGCGCAGGAGCGGGCTCAGCTGCGCGCATCACTGGAGCAGATACAGGCTGAGCTGGTGCAGGTGAAAGCGGCACGGGAGGAGGATCGGGCGGAGATTGGGAGGTTGAAGGGAGAGGTGGTGAGGCTGCAAGGGGATGGTTTGACTTTGAAGCATCTTCAGGCAGAGTTTGATCGGCTGCATGCGAAACAGGTGAGTCAAGGGGGGTTGGGTAGGCTTAGCTGCAACAAAGCCTTGCAATGGTAACCAGTGCCATGCAGCAGTGGGCGCAGGAGCGGGCTCAGCTGTGCGCATCACTGGAGCAGATACAGGCTGAGCTGGTGCAGGTGAAAGCAGCAAGGGAGGAGGATCGGGCGGAGATTGGGAGGTTGAAGGGAGAGGTTTTGAGGTTGCAGGCGGATGGTGTGGTGTTGAGGCAGCTTCAGGCAGAGTTGGGTCGACTGCAGGCAAAACAGGCGAGTCAGTGGGTGGTTGGGTGCGGGTTGGCTGTGTGATGGGAGGGGGATAAGGGAGATCTTGGCGGTTGCGCACAGAGGTGGTGAGGATGCAGGCGGATGGTTTGGTGCTGAGTCAGCTCCAACCAGAGTTCGGTCGGTGGTGAGGTTTCAGGTGGTTGGTATGGCGCTGAGGTAGCTCCAGGCAGAGTTGGGTCGACTGCAGGCAAAGCGGGTGATCGGATGAGGGAGGTGGGAAGGGATCGCTAATTTTCATGGCTTAATTGCGCTTTGTGATTTTTTCCTTGCGGCGTGTGTTGTATTGGTTTCTGTTAAATGTTTGCCTGTCTTTCCAGATGGCAGTGGAGCCAACCATCGTGCAAGAACTTGCGCCGGACCATTCTTTGATTGGTCTAGAAGTTCACGAGCAATCAGGAGATTCAAAACCAGACGAAGATTCTAGTCAACAAGAAACAAGCGGAAGTACACAGGTTGCAGATTGGGCAGAAGAGACTGGGTAATTAGTTTCTTGAGATGTCAAACTTCAGCTTTGCTGGTGGTGAATGTTTACAACGCGTATGCAGTTCCCACTTTCCAGAGATATGCAAAATGGTGCGACTGTGTGCTCCAATCAGCAAATGGACTGAAGTCGAAGCCAGGTTCGGTTTCTCCATCAGCCAATCAGAGGAGGCCAGGAGCTCCTTCGGTGCTTCGGCTGAGTGCGTGCGTGACCCATCAAATGAGGGGCAGCCACAAATGTCCCCCATCTGCTGGCGCTTTTTCTTGAGTGGTCCCTCTTTTCCTGAAATCTGGGCCTCCTGTTCGCGAAGCTGATTCTGTCTCGCCGAAGCTTCCCAGATCCATTCTTTAGGAAAGTGGCAGAAATTGCGACACACTCAAACCAGGTAACATTTCGCAAATGTCGTGAGTGTATGAACCTCAAAACCAAATGCGTACCTTTCATGCCACGTCCTGACATGTGTATGTGCTGTTGATTTTGTTTCTTCGAGTGAAATCCGCAAGCTTAGCTTTTGTTTTTTTCACCGTCTCAGGTACTTGAGGATCTTGAATCTTGTGATCCCCAAGTTCTTACGGTTTATGAAGATCGCGTAGTGAAAAGCTTCTCTGCTTCTGTGGTTGTTAACACAGGCGACGCGTTCGCTGTTCGCAGAACTTCCGCTAGCGACGATATCCAACATGGCTGCTTGTTTGAGGGCAGGAGTTTCCGCAGGCGGTCAGGTCGGCGGACTATCGACCAGCTTGACCGGAAGTTTTGCCGGAAATTCGTTACCTTGCCGTTCTTCTGCTGGACTATCGTTACGCCATCGAAAGTTGCACGGCGTTCGAGCTGTAGCCGAGGTAAGTCATTTTCCACGACTACTTGTTCTGGTATTCCGAAGACAAAGAAAAAGAAACAGTCGTTTTTTTGTCTCCATTTCACCGTTGAGAGGATGAGTTCTCAGCCTTCGCTAAAAAAACTAAAAATCTCCGACATTCAGGATAACAAGGTCAGGGAGGAGCTTCAGAAAATCGCATCTGAAGCGTCCAAGAAACTCCAGAAGATTACTGAAGACGCTTCGACCGTTTTAGAAGGCGCTGCTCATGCTATTGAAGACAAGGTTAAGCTCCCAAACCCCGATGAGCTGCAAGAGCTTCAAGTGCAGACCCAGCAAGCAGCAGCAGAGGTGAAGCATAAGGCCAAGATTCTGGCGGAGCAACTCAAAGTCCAAGCTGAGAAGGCCAAGGTGCAGATTAAGGAGCAGGCGGAGAAAGCGTCGTATCAGCTAGAAGAAGCGCTGCATCATGTGGAGGAGAATAAGGAGCAGATTGTTGCCGTAGCTAAGGACGCTCCAGAACCTATCAGGGAGATCGTGGAGACAGCGGTGTCATCACACTCGAAGGACGCTATAAGGAGAGGAGCGGTGATCCATGACTTTTGTCTGGGAATCCCATATGGTGGGTCTCAATGTCAATTGCAGCCACCATGAGTCACTGACTCTGACGTGTGAGGAGTACTTTTGTTGGCTGAGTAACCTGTCCTTGTCTTTCTTGTTAATGTCACAAAAAGTTCACTTGGGCCAGTTCCCTTTGAAACTGCTTTTCTTTTTGTCTTCAGGTGCTCTGCTGGTGATTGGAGGGGTGACTTGGTTCACTCTGGCAGGGAGCGTCAACGCCCTTCGATTTGGCATGATTGTTGGGGGTATCATCCTCGCGTGTAGCATCTCCAGCCTCCGTGCGTGGCAGAATCACCGTCCTTCTGCACTGTACATCGCTATTCAAGGAGGTGAGTTGCTTGTATCTCTGAAGTTTTTTTGTGGCATTCAAGCTTGTTTAGTCGTGTGGCGTTTCTCTTCCAGCGCAAATAGGGTTGCGCTAGCATAAAAGCTCAATAGTTGATCAAGCAGTAGTTGTAATTCAGATCAATTGTTCATCTCTTCACTCACTCCCAGTTCCTCTTTTTACTCGTGCTTTGTTCTATTCCTTATCTCTCCAGTGCTTTCAAGCTTTGTGTTCATCAATGAAGCAACTCGCTTCGCTGTGGTATGCTCTTGATGCTCTATTTTTCTTTTTCCCCTTGCCCTGCTGTGCTGATTTTCCTTTGCCTTCTTGATTTCGGTTTCGTAAGCATGCAACTGGAATGCAGCCTTGAGTGTTTGGGCAGTGATACATGTTTATTGACAAATACGTCCGTTCAGCACTTGCTTCTTTTTGCCGTCTGTTATCTTACACGCTTCTTTGTATTCCTGTTCGCCTGTGCTGATGTGCTCATTTATCAGACCAAGGCCCTCTTTCCAACTGGTGTAGCTGCACTTGCAAGGTATGTTATCCTGAGTCGCTTCCACCGTAGATGTTGGTGCTCTTGTTTAACTCTGCTGTCTTGATCGGAAGTACAGCACATGGCCATGGCCTAAAAGACTACCGTATTATGTATTACCTATCCAATTTGCAGTGCAGTTGCTTCCTGTCGCTGTTGTTCGTTGTTGTTAACATGCTCCCCTCTTTGGCTGTTTGCTTGCTCCCTCACGCAGCATTTTCATGGTGGCCTTCTACACATGCATCTTCATGTCCGGAGGAAACCGCCCTAAGGCAGAAGCATCAAGCCTCGCCTAGTCAGTTCAGCATTCTGTTTGTCACTTCGCCACTCAATACACCTTCATGTTTGGAGGATACCATAAAAAGGGGCCGTCTTCCGTGGTACCAGTATGTTGTGGAGCACTTCCATTGTTGCAGTAGACAGTGCACCCAGCCCAAGTGTCTAGCACAACGATAGGGATGATATACGAACTATTGTTTTAGAACCGTGTTCAACCCAAAGATGTGGCGAAAGTTTTTGTGATTTTCGCACCTGAAGAACGGTGCCAACTCTAAAAGGCGCTCAGGCACATGTAATTACAATCAGTGCCATACAAGAGATGAGAAGAGGTGCAGTGCGGGAAAGAAACTAAGCCAAACTCCGCCTATATCATAAAAATGAATGACAACTCACGCAGTGAGCACAAACACACGCAAGCACACATGTGAGGAGAGAGCTAGCGTAAGCCAAGCTCGGGGGTTAGTACAGTCAGTGTCAGTGACCGTCAGATGAACTCGCCAGATGAAATGGCGAGCGCTCAAGGAGACTCAGGCAAAACACGAGCAGTTACAGCTGGGCATCGGTACGATTCCACCTCCCGCGGCGGTGTCCGTACGCCCTTCTCGTACGCTCCTTGACACTCGTACGGATGCGTGCGAGCCACATTGCCATGCGCACCCTTCAACATTGTGAGTGCTGACATGTCAATGAGGGAAGCTGCGTCGAAGGCGACCTCTGATTGCCACAGCTTCGCTTCAAGCTTCTTGCAGTACGCGAAGAAAGCTTCAGTTGTAACGTTCATGCGAAAGTCCAGGCGGAACAGCAGCTCCATCTCCAAACGGTTCATCTCGGCGGTTGTAACTCCGCCGACTTTGGCGTAGTACGCATTGTTGAAGTACCTGAACGGATGAAAAACGGGAGTAAACAGGAAAACTCGGTGAGGTGAGGTGCCATGCGTGCACATCGTCAGGGAGTAGTTCATTTCATTAACTTTTCAACCACCGCTCAACACGGGGTGGGCTCTCATTTGCAAGCCCCATTGTTATTTCAATATTACCAAGTCAAATGTGAGAGAGTTTAACAGATGTCGAGTAAGTTACACATTGTTGCAAACTTCGCATGGAAGCACTTACGAGTCATCGAGAAACTTCGCGGCGACCATGACGGATGTGATGAGCAGGCGATGCACATTGAGTGACGTCACCACCATGTCATCATGCCGCTCCACCATCTTCTCCACATAGATATACGCCAGCACGAAGCACGCCGGGCTGCAATTCGCGTACTTGAATATCCTCTCCATGTACTTCTCGACCCCGATGGCCGGGGCGCGCAGCCCGTGAAAAACGGTCAGCTTCTCCTCGCCACCCTTGGCTTGATTGGCCTCGTTTCGCTCCACGATCTGGTCGAAAATCGTCGCGAGGACAGAGAGAACGCGAGGCCTTTCGCAAATCAGGTTCGGATCGATTTCTAGAGTGGCGAGGCAGCTTGGAGCAGCCTTGGCCAGTGCGCTGAAAGACAGAGAACCTCCCTTGCCCATTTTGACTTAGACTGTTGCCTTGCGGAAGAAATGCGTCTGGTTTCAATTCACTACTGAAGCGAACAAAGAATAGTGGAGTTCGCTGGAAATGTAGCACCGAACGCCGATTGCTGGATCGAAGATAGGCTCGCACACGGATGCTAAGTAATCAAGAAACACACCAAGGGAGGGAGGCCGCTGAGAAGATAAGATAGAGGCGAGGCGAAGGAAGAATTCACTATGGAAACGGAGCACGAAGGCGACGAGAGAGGGGCTCGGGGTGACTCGTGCAGAACGAGAGGCACACCTGAGCGAAATATGAGGAATGGGCCGAATGATTGGTAAGCTTTTATTTCGTGCGAACGAGGATTAACGCACAATGGCCGACACAGCGAGCAAAGCGACTGTGCTCAGCTCTGCCTCTCGCTTCTCTGCCTCTTGCTTTCCTCTGCTTCGCCCCGTCGGGTTCTCTGGCTCCCTGGCGTTGGCTCGCTCGTTCTTGGGCTCTGATTTCCTGGCTCGCTCTGGCAAACTGTTGCTGGGTCCCCCTCAAAACCCCCTCTCTGACATGGGGAATGGACGAGGGCTACCACCATCCACGTGGAATGCATCCGAGAAGACGCGAGTCGAGATCGACGTTCAGAAACGTCGCATAAAAGTACGGGAGAAGGATCTTTTGGAGATGAAACAGGCTGGGAAGTTTGATTGGTCAGTTTGCGTCATAGCTGGAGGCCTTACAAACGGTGTGTCTCGTGGCAATGGGAAGAGGATGAGATGTAACGCGGGGGTTGCACGATGATGGAGGGCTGATTGGTCGGAAGGGGAGCGGGAGGGGTACTAAGAGGATCGAAACTCGCGGCGACAACATTCCAGCGTACTTTTGTGAGATGATACGAGGCGCATGCGTGTGATGCGATGAGATCGAAGCGCTGCCGTCAATCGACCCGCCAGTGCCCACTTTCGAAAATCTCTGCCTCGACCACGGGTTGGTCGCTTTAGCACAGCGACCTCTGATTGGATAGCTTCAGTCTCCTGGTCCCACAGCGCCTACCCTGTCTTTCTTTCAGATGCTGGAAAGGAATGAGAAGGAAGTGACAGGCTGGCAGACATTTCCACCCCTCCCTATGGGCGACTCGCATTTGGGGGAATGTTTTCGGATTTCCCAGCTACGGCTGCTCTGCGACATGGCTGGAACGTGCCCAGCTGTTGCCTGCGCACCCTGAACAGGGTGCCGTTGGGTTCGCCAGCCATCCATTTCACGCCACAGCGTCTCGATGATGAGACGCAGTGACTTCCGTCGTTCACATTCGGGGAACATCTCATGCCTACGTGGCAGGAACCGTGAGTTTCGCCGTCAGCCAACCCCGAAGCGAGTCGCAGTGCCCTCCTTTAGAGCACAGCCTGCGATAGAAGGAGCCCAACAGCGACCACAGCCCAATTTGAACGACGACGGCGAAAATATGGGATGACCTTTGCGCCAGAAATCAGGGGAGCAAATTGTGCCAACGGACACGCAAATGTGAGGACGTGGTGTGAAAAGGCCCGCGAAGCATTTGCCCGCCGTTGGCAAAAAACGACAGGGTGGACCAAAAGATTGCGCGTCGGCACTGATGTCACTTTCCATACAGCGACAACCCCTGAACAAACCAGCATCCCCTACTAGTCGTGTACATATAGTTGAGTACAGAAATTGTGTATCGTATGATATCGAGTTCACCTTCACGTGAAAATATGTCAACCACAATTAAATCATTGTAAGCAGCTTCAACAAACTAACAGTGAAGAAAACAGGACACTTTGTGAATTAAACCCGCTGCATATTTCTAGCATGAGCACTGGTTGGAAATGCTCAAGCTACCATATCATGGAAGTATGCCTTGGGATGTGATCTCTGAGTTTGGGACTGGGCTGGGCTGAAAGGATGCATCAATGGATGTGCATGGTAGCTTAAAACCGGGGTCTCAAGTTTCCCGAAGTTGCCTCATCCTTCCTACCTTTGGTTGGGTTCCACAGCCCAACCAACCTTCCTACCTTTGGTTTTGTCACAAAGTCCAACCATCCTTCCTACCTTTGAAACATGTGGACCCTGGGTTTTAAAGCTTTGTTTTGATTAAATTTACTAGCATATGCAAACCAAGGGGAAAATATAGCACAAGGAGTAGAGCCTCTGCGGGTTAGAGGCCCTGCTGTGTGACATGGCTACACCGCATGATGCTGCCTTATCTCCTCCCAAACCTTTCGTGCTCCAGCAGCACAAATCAAGCATCCTAATGAGACCGCCCCACATACTGGGCTCCCCAGTCCGAATGGTGACGAAAATGATGAGACGTTACATCACATGCTTTCACCCAGCTTCAAGATTTCTAACATCAAAAGCCTCCTCTCCCCTTACGAAGAACCCTAACTCTACAAGTCTAGGAAATCTACGCATTAGTGTACTCGACTACAGTAAGTGAGCCAGTGTATCTTGTCAAGAGCGTATATGTAATGGGCGAGCGCAATCACTTGACGCGCCCATCCCCGTGTACCGCCATCTGCCGTCAGCGATATCAGTTCTGTCAGAACGTAAACGCCGATCGTCAAGGAGACCCGTTCACGAGTGTTCTCGCACGCATCGACGGATACCGGTACGATTCCACTTCTCGAGGGGGTGTCCGAACGCCTTTTTGCACCTCCACGTGGCATGGCTGCACGCGTGCCAGGTGGCCTGGTGGCTTCAGCATGGATAACGAGTTGACGTCCAACGTGGCCTCGAAGGGAGGCCGGGAATTCCAAATCTCCGCTTCAAGCCGCTTGCAGTACGCGTAAAAGACGTCCGTCGTAATGTTCAAGCGGAAATCCATGCGGAACAGAAGTTCCATCTCCAGACGGTTCATCTCGGCTGTTGTAACGCCTCCAACCTTGGCGTAGTACGCGTTATTGAAGTACCTGTACGAGAGAATGGAAAGCATTTGCACGACGGAAACTCTTAAGTGAAGTGAATGAATATATTCATGTGGTAGGTTTGAACTAAGTAACGAGACAACGCTGTGAGCACCATCTGCGGAGGTTGAATACTCAACGTAGCAACAACAAGAATGGGATGACCGGCAAGGATGGCTACTTCCGCGTAAAACACGTTCACGAGGGCGGTTACCACTTACGAGTCATCGAGAAACTTCGCGGCGACCATGATGCAGGTGATGAGCAGGCGATGCACATTCAGCGACGTTATAACCATGTCGTCATGCTCTTGCAAGATACGGTCGATGTACGCGTATGCCACCACGAAACACGCCGGACTGCAATTCGCGTACTTAAATATCCGCTCCAGGTACTTCTCCACGGTGATTGCCGGCGCGCGAAGCCCGTGAAAAACCGTCAACTTGCGGTTACCGGATTTCGCCTGTTTCGCCTCGTTACGCGACACCACGTGGTCGAGGATGCTGGAGAGGATCCCGAGTATCCGGGGTCGCTCGGCTGTTGTGTCTGGCTCAATTTCGAGCGTCGAAAGGCCCGAGTAGCTCTTGGGCTGTGCGA